CTCTAAAGGAAAACAACCTCCAACCCAGATTGATGTACCCTGCAAAACTATCTTTCAAAATTGATGGAGAAATAAGGTACTTTCATGACAAAGAGCACCTTAGGAACTTCACGCATACCACACCAGCACTCCAAAAAATTTTAAAAATAAATCCTAGGAAAAGACAACAAGGATCACAGCCCCAGGAAGCCCAGCTGAATGAATCCATCAGGCACGACAAGAAATTGAATGCAAAGCGGGACAATCCAACAAAAAGAAAAAGTCATGACAACGATAAGTCAATACATATCTGTACTGGCTATTTATCATCTTCTTGTCTCTACTTTTTAATTGGGTTGTCTATTAATGAGCTATAAGAGTTCTTTATATATTCTGGTCATAGGTTATATGCATTATAGATATGGTCTGTTTAAGGACTACTTTCCATTTTCTTAACGATGTCATTTAAAGTTCTAAATTTTGATGGAATCTCATTTATCAATTTTTTTTACACATAATGTTTTTTATATCCTAGGAAATTCTTGCCTACCCTAAATTCATAAACATTTTCCCTCATAATTTCTTCTTAAAGTTTTATAGTTTTAGTCTTTCATATTTAGGTTCATAGATCCTTTCAAGTTATCTTTATGTATGGAAATAAAGGGTTGAGGTTAATTTTTTTATATACAGATACCAGGTGCTCTAGTGCCATTTGCTGAAAACACCATCTTTTCCTCTGCTCTTGAATTGAGTTAATGTTCTATAAAATGTTAATATTAAATAATCTTTCAAAACTCAGTGGACCATATATGTGTGTTCTATTTCTAGGTTCTCTGTTTTATTCCAATGATCTATATGTTTTTCCTTACACCAACACTGCCTTGATTACTGTAGCTTTAAAGGAAGTCTTAAAATTAGGTACTAAATATCTTCCAACACTGTTTTTTTTTCTTTTTACTTTACTTTTCTTTTTACTTTTCTAGGTCCTTTGTACTCTTACATAACTTTTAAATTTCAATATCCA